TTCCTGGTCCAACACTTTATACACCAATGCCACCACACTGGCTATTTGTCTCTGAAGTAGTCTACTTGGCAAGGAGGAAAGCACAAAGATGCTGAACTTAAAGAAAGCAAAAATAATGACCACAGAGGATCTACATAAATTCACACTTGAGAATGAAGACACTGAAATAAAGATTTCTCATATCTTGGATCCAACATTGTTTAGAGCGGAGAATGCAATCAAGAGATAAGAAGACTAGGAATGGGAAGGGCAGCCATGAAAGAGCTAGAAAAGATCCTAAGAGTAAAGATATAAAACTAAGTACTAAAGTTAGAATCATCCAAGCCATGGTATTCTCATACATCACTACATATAGATGTGAGAGTTGGACAGTGAAAGAAGCAGATAAAAAGAAAATTAACTCATTTGAGATGTGGTGCTGGAGAAGAGTGCCAAGAATACTGTGGACAGTCAAAAAGACAGACAAATGGCTCCTTGAACAGATGAAGCCTGAAATGCCCCTAGAAGCCAAGATGACCCAATTGATGTTGTTGTACTTTGGCCACATCATGAGAAGGCATGAATAATTGGAATTGAGAATAATGCTGGGGAAGGTTGATGGTAGCAGAAAGAGAGGGAGACCTCATGCCAGATGGTTAGGCTCCATTAGAGAGGTCATAGACATGAGTCTTTAAAACCTAAGCAGAGAAGTGGAAGACAAGGAGTTTTGGAGATGTCTCATTTTGAGGTCAACTGGAGGGCAGTTAGCAAGTCTTCTTGAATTTTGTTGATGTTTAGGTCCCCTTAATTATTTAATCCTGTATACAAAAGCTTGAAGGCAATGTGAGTCACACTTTACAAGACTGACAAACACACACAAGCTTTTGAATAGCTACTCTGCTAATCCTATCAGGCTATGCTAGTCTGTTGTAAGAAAGGATAAAGGAATGATAATGAATTTCAGTTGAAAGCAAGGCCAGCCCTTAGAATTTAGTGCCTACTTCAGGTAGACAATTCTGTGTCATGGAAGGGACAGCAATTGTTAAGGGAAGGGGATTCACTGCCAGAGAAAGTATGCAAAGTGATCTTGTAGCACCTTTGAGACTTTGCATACTGATATTCCAGACTAACATGATTATGCTAGAGAAAAGAAAACGCATTTGTGAGATTCTTGGCCTCTGACATCTTGATTGGTAATGGGGAAGGGAGCGCTCTTTGCCTCTGTACCTCCAGCAGCAAAACATCTTAAGTCAAGCCTGGATATTATTGTGAAATAAATTTCTGAAGATATTCCTCATCTTTCGGGAAGGGTTGGGAAGTGGAGTGGAGCTGAAGGCTTGGCCAAGCTAAAAACAAAACTAAATTGAATTATATCTGTACTACAGCCAGCAACCTTTTGAACTTCTAAAAAAAGTGCTCTTTGAACATTAGTTGTTTGGCGAAAGAAATGCAAAAATATTTTCTTTGTGATGTGTCTAATGACACCTTTAATAATAAAGCCTCACACCAAGGCAGTTTACCATTTCCTGCTCTGAAAATGGCAATCATTGGATCCATTTTGTATTTGAACAGCAGTCTGCTGACAGTGTTTAATTTGGCAAGTTATAAGCCTATAACTGTCAAATCAATGGTCTGTGTCCAATGGGAGCAATTACACCTAACATCCATTTATAATATGGCACAAAGAAATGCCACTTTCTCCTTATGCAGAGAATAATGATGATTGTTGTTTTTCACACATAGATGTCTTTTTAAAATATAAAATAAGAGAAGCAGGGTAAATGGAGATGCAGGAATATCACTGATTCCTGAAGAGGTAGTACAACACATGGCTATTACAGATACGAGCAAAACGACCAATTAGTTTTTAAAACAGCTTAGTTATGTGTGCAAATTCTTTAAAGGAATGTTTGACAAAATGTCATTGGGGAGTGAATAAGGGGTAAGAATCTTAGCCAGATTTAAATATCCTCTCTTGAATTTATTCAGGATGAAATTGCTCCAAGCAGTGTATTTGAGAACTTTCGTTAGTAACACTTTTAAATAATTCATGAGAACTATAGCAAGAATTTCATGCAATGCATGGCAAACTCTCACCCTTTCTAAAATGAAAGAATGAGCCTTGAAGCAGGGGTGGAAAAACATTTTCAAATGTTATATGGCTTGAGTTCCCATCAGCCCCAACCGGCCTAATCACTGGCGAGAGCTCATGGGAGTGGTAGTTCCTTCACATCCAGATGGTTACTACCCCCCAGCCCTGCCTTAGGGTATGCATATTGCCTTTAAACATTAAAGTCTTATGCAGTAAACCAGTGCTTAGTAGCATGAGGGCATCAAATGTTAAGTGCTCCTAAGGAATCATGGTGCTTAATTAAAATACAGTGGTACTCACAGAGAAGCATGCCCTTGCAAAATGGCACCCTTTCTAGCAGATGTAAATACAGTCGCCCCTCCATTCTCACAGACTTTGGGTCCACATTCCTCACCTATCCGTGGACGGTGAACAGAGGAGGACAAAATGGGGTGAATGCCTCCATTCAAGCCTATAGGGTGTGCACCTCCATTCAAGCCTATGGGACTTGAATATATGTGATTTTCCATTCTTGCGGGGTGTGTGTGTCCGGAACGGATCCCCCACAAGAAGAGAGGGTCAACAGTATATATACTGTATATTAAAAAAAAACCTCAAAGTCTATGCAAAATTCCCCAAAGAGAACTTTGGGATGAAAACTTACCAAATTATTATACACATTAGGTACTAATACATAGTCTGATTTCTTTTTAAATCACAGACTGTATTTTTATCTCAAAAGGGAAGGGTGGTTCGGGGCATAATGTATATATGTGCCTTTAAGTCGCCTGTTGACACAATGGTTTTCATAGGGTTTTCTTAAACAAAGAATACTCACAGATGGTTTTCCCAGTTCCTTCCTCTGAAATATAGCCCACAGCACCTGGTGTTCAGCTTATAGTTTTCCATCCAAGTACAAATCAAGACTGACCCTGCTTAGTTTGCAAGATCAGACAGGATCTGGTGCCTTTATGGTATTTAGGCAGGTTCAGGGCAGAACAAACACACACACACACACACACACAAATCATTAAAAGCAGTGTAAAATTAACACATCAATACAGTAAAACTGAGAGCCATTGCTGAAAATAATTTCAATACAAATTTAAATTAGACATGCTTGGACAAATAAAAGGCCAGAAAGAATACAATGGCAGAAATATTACCTCCCATGGGAGAACATTTGAAAACAGGGGTCATCAGTGAAGAGAGAGCTATCCAAACAAGACACCCCTCTCCAGCACCCCCTGTAGATATCTTAAACTGTGTGTAGTAGGGAACCCTGTTATTTTAAATGAGATGAACAGGGAAGCTGATCATACAGTTGTGCTGAAGGGCTTAGAAATGCTTAGACAGAACATTTTTCTGAAGTAGATAACGAAGCCATGGATACAGAATATGTGGATATGGAGGTCAACCGGTATAACTCGATGTAGTCACCCAGGTTCCCATACATCTTAAGGTTCCCATACAGCTTAAGTTGATTTCTTCATGATCCAGCAATTAATATTACGGTACATCTGTAGAGATTTGTAAGAATGAGGAGGGCAGCTATGAAAGAACTAGAAAAGGTCCTAGAGAGCAAAGATATACAACTAAGCACAGAAGTTACAATCATACAAGCAATTACATTCCCTATTACCATGTATGTATGCAAGAGCTGGACAATTAAGAAAATGGATAAAAAGAAAATAAATTCATTTGAGATGTGGTGCTGAAGAAAAGTGCCGAGGATACTATGGGTAGCCAAAAAAACAAATAAATGGGTCCTAAAACAAATCAGGCCTGAAACCTCCCTGGAATCCGAGATGATTGTCATACTTTGGCCACGTCATGAGAAGACAGGACTCATTAGAAAAGACAATAATGCTAGGAAAGGTAGAGGGAAGGAGACTGAGAGGAAGACCACATGCTAAGTGGATGGACTCAATTAAGGAGGTCACAAGTGTGAATCTGCAAGAACTAA